ACCGCAGCAAGTTGTCATCCGACCTCTACCTTCACACACACACACACACACACACACACACACACACACACACACGCGCACACACACACATACACGCGCACACACATACACGCACACACACACACACACTTGCACATACATAGACACATATGCACATACATACACAGGAAAACACACACACACACACACACACACACACACAAATAAATAAGTAAAAATGCAATAAAAAGAATTTGTAAAAATGATGGCAGGAGGCTGGGCTGTGGTGGCGCACGCCTTTAACCCCAGCACAGAGGCAGGATCTCTGTGAGTTCGAGGCCAGCCTGGTCTACAGAGAGAGTTCCAGGACAGGTTCTAAAGCTACACAGAGAAAACCTGTCTTGAAAAACAACAACAAATGCTAGATTTTACTTTCCTGAGCCCATTTCTCTGTTGGAAAGTAACCACAGTGCTTCTTTCCCCCACCATCCCCTTTTTAAAAAGATGTTTAATTTTATGTGTGTAAGGGTTTTTCCTGCATGCGTATCTGTTCACCACTTGTGTGCAGGTACCCAGGGAGATCAGGAAAAGGCATCAGATCCCCAGGAAGTGGAGTTACAGATGGTTGTGAGCTGCCATGTGGGTGCAGGGAACAGAGCCTTGCTCCTTTGGAAAAACAGCCAGTGCTTTTAGCCACCAAGGACCCACGTTTCCTCTTTAAGTAGCGACTTCATCAAGACACACTTCATGCATGATACATTCACTCATTTACAGGGAAATTCAGTGAGGTTTTCTTTTTTGACCTTTCAGGTCAGCCTAGCTGTGCTGTGAGTCACCCCGCGTGTATCTTCCGTGGCCTCTTTCTCTCTTGTTCAGTCGCCAGACATCTCCAGCTGTTTGGTTTGTTTGCTTTTGTTTTTTGAGATGGCCTTGAACTCACAAAGAACCACCCGCCTCTGTCTCCTGAGTATTGGGATCGAAGGTGTGCATCACCACCGCCCAGGCCCGTCTTCTCTCATTCTTATTCCTTCCTCTTTTGACTTAAAATATTTGTGTGTGCGTGTGACACACACACACACACACACACACACACACAGAAAGAGAGAGAGACATGTACCCAAGTACAGTGCCCAAGGAGGCCAGAAGAGAGCATGAGATCTCCTGAGCTGAAGTTACAGGTGGTTGTGAGCAGCCCAATGTGGGCGCTGGGAACAAAACTTGGGTCTTCTGCAAGAGCAGTCAGTGCTCTTAACTTCGGAGCCATCCCTCCAGCGCCAGCTCTTTCCTTTTTAATTTTACAGGATGGGTGTTTTGCCTGCGTGTGTATCTGTGCACCACGTGCAGGCCCCACGTCCGCCGAGGCCAGAACAGGGCATTGGATCCCCTGGAAGCGGAGTTACAGATGGTTGTGAGGCGCCATGCGGATGCTGGGAACCAAACCTGGGTCCTGTGGAAGAGCAGCCAGTGCTCTTAACTGTTGGGCCGTCTCTCCAGACTCATTGGTTTACTACTTAATTATAACCTTCCATAACCTTAACAATCGCTGGAACCTGTGGATCATCACAGGACCCCACTTGCCCCACCTCAAGTTTTTCTTTTCGAAGTCCATTTAATACTTAATCTTTAACATCACCTACCCTGGGTTATCCTTCCCACTCCTAATCTTATTAATTAAAATCACAGAGTATGCCACACTGTCCTTGGTTATTTATCCTCCAATAGTTATTGAGGTCCAAGAGGCCTCTGTGATTAATTGGCGACTGTGACATTTGCTTAGCGGGAAACCAAACAGCTGTAGTTTCTCTCTGAGTTAATATCCTACCCAGGGAATAAAACAAAGCTTACACCGGGCACCCGGAGCTCCTGGAGTAATTATTTTCTGAACCACATACACAACACTGTCACATTCAAGTCCCTCTTGAACGCAGCAAACACTTCAACAGATAGAATATAGCTGATAAAAAAGTAAAGAAACCAAATATATATATATATATGTATATATATATATACACACACACACACACATATATATATAATAAAATAAAGCAAGCAATGAAATGATACTGTTTGTGTAAATCCTAACACAGTAACAGAAACAGGAAACCCTGTCTCAAACAAAAACAAAAACAAACAACAACAACAAAAAACAAAAACAAAACAAAAAAACCAGCCATCCATTTGCTGCCTCAAAGAAACACACCTCACCAGGACGTGAGGCGCTACCTTCCGGGGAGCAGATGGAAAAGGCGCTCCAAGCAACGGTCCTAGGAAGCAAGCGGGGGTTAACCAACGCTAACTAAACTATGTTGAGGTTGCCTGTCACCCAGTCAGAAGGACTGTGACTGGAAAACAAGTAACAACAAATGCTGGCACGAGTCTGGGGACAGGGGACACTCAGACACTGGTTCTGGGAGTGTAAACTGGTGTAGCCGCTAAGGAAGTCAGTGTGGAGGTTTCTCAAAAATCTAAAAATAGGTACCATAGGACCCACCTACGCCAGTCCTGGGCAGATCCACAAAGGACTCCAAAGCCTCCCACAGAGACACCTTCATAGTCCCGTTCACTGCTGCTCTAGTCACAGTGGTAAGGGAAAGGAATCAGTCTAGATGTCCATCAGCTGGGGACGGGATAATGACAATGTGACACATACCGCACAGTGACATTTTAGCCAGCTCTAAGAGTACAATGATGGAACTCTCAGGAAAACGGAGAGCACTGGGAAGTGTTCTAGCGAGTGACGTCACCGAGGTCCGGAGAGACAAATATTGCATGTTCTCTCTCCTACATGGATCCCGGCTTTGAGTATGCAGATTTGTGTGTTTGATGTGGGGTGTTTATAAAGGTCAGGAAGCTAGAAAGGGCCCAGGAGGGTGGGGGTGAGACAGAGGTCTTAAGGGATGAAGGGATAGCAGAACGTGCCTTGTATGAAGCAGAATGCTGTAGGTTAAAGGTTCAAGTGGGAATGGGGGGCGGGGCATAGGTGAGCGGAAGAACTTAACAAGCATGATTAAGGCTGTATGGAAACCCTATGGAAACCCAGGACTTCATAAGCTAATTTAAAGACAGAATCTCAGCAGAGGTACCTGTGAGAGTAAACAATGCTCCCTCAAAGAACTGTTTTTCTTCCTTTCTCTTTCTTCCTTCCTTCCTTTCTTTCTTTCTTTTTTTTTCTGTTTTTTCGAGGCAGGGTTTCTCTGTGTAACCGCCCAGCCTGTCCTGGATCTCGCTCTGTATGTAGATCAGGCTCTCCTCAAACTCACAGAGATCCACCTGCCTCTGCCCCCCAAGTACTGGGATAAAAGGCTTGCGTCGCCGCCGCCACCACCACCTGGCTGTTTTTTGTTTTTTGTTTTTTTTAATAAAAACCTCAGTGTCATGTCGTGGGTCTTCTCCCTATGAGTTATTGGTCAGGAAGTCCCAGAGATCCTTAAAACAACACAGGATATTCCATTGATCTTGGTTGTCCACCAGGACTAAGTTACGATAAGACCCTAACGCTAAAAACACAACACACTTTGGTTGCAGGACAGAGACATCAAGCTGGAGCTGACCTGCAAACTTCCTCCCCGCAGGGTAGTTTCCATAGTATGGGGGGGGGGGTGCTAAGTGGGCCACAGTGGGCAGAAAAGCCATCAATGGTCTGATCATCTAGTGAACCCTGACCGCCACAATATCACAACACCGGTCACGATATCACAACACTGGCCACAATAATGCCACAGTACCAACCGGCCAGGCAAGATGCACTCCCTGGCGCAAAAGTGGATGGCTGTTGCGGGGATAACCGACGACTTTCTCATTGAATCTGAGGCCTGATCCACGGGACGGAATTTATGCCTGGTTGTGTGTCTTAGTCAGGGTTTCTATTGCTGTGATGAAACACCACGGCCAAAAGCAGATTGGGGGGACAGGGTTTATTTCACCTACACATCAGGTAACAAACCATCACTAAGGGAGGTTGGGGACAGGAACTCAAGCAGGGCAGGAGCCTGGCAGCAGGAACTGAGGCACAGGACATGGATAAGTGCTGTTTACTGGCGTGTACCTTGTGATTTGCTCAGCCTGCTTTCTGATAGCACCCAGGACCACCTGCCCAGGGGTGGCCCCACCCACAATGTATCATGCCCTACCACATCAATCAGTAATTAAGGAAATGCCCTATAGGCCTGGCTACAGACCAATCTTACGGAGGCATTTTCTCAACTGAGGCTCCCTCCTCTCAGATGACTCTAGCTTGTGTCAAGTTGACATAAAAACCAGCCAGCACATACTGTAGACCCACCCCAAAGCCCACAACTCAGGAAGCACAGGCCCTAGTGGGAGCCTACGGTTTTGCTACGTGGCATGTCAAACTGCCTTCTACATATTTGCGCTTGTAGACGAGTGCCGCTCCTGGCCTGGCCCAGAGAAGCTCCCCTCTGCAGCCGTCAGCAGAGACTCACAACTGGTCCAAACGCTGAGAGTAAGGGACGGCTGAGACCCAAACGGCACATCCTTATCGACCTCCTCGCCAAGGCTCGGGGAGTATCGTGAAAGAGGGAGAAAGGAATGAACAGCAAGAGGATGGGGAGGAACGAAGCGAGATGCTGTCTCCCGGCCAGGGCCCGGCCATTGCACTTACTTACTGTAACTATGGTCACCTGCACAGGGTCAAGCCAACGACGTCCGTCCGTCCTTCCAGCAGGGAGCGCTGGCCGGACTCAGTGGGTTACAAAGAAAGAAGATGGGATAGAAGGAATGGAGGGGAACATGCTGCAGTGTCTTGGGAGTAGACGATCAAGACACATTCTGCACACGTATAAATTATCAAAGAATAAATACCAAGGGCTGGAGAGATGGCTCACTGGTTAGGAGCCGGGGCTGCTCTCGCAGAGGACCTGGGTTCGGTGCCCAGCACCCACATGACAGCTCACAACTGTCTGTATCTCCAGTTCCGGGGACTCACTACCTTCTTCTGGCCTCCATGGGCATTGCATCATGTAGTACACATTCAGGCAAGACATTTGTACACATAAAATAAATAAATCTTAAAATGGGAATTTAATAAGAAGCTACTATAAAGATTCCAGTCCCCAAGACATTGGGGATGTTGGCAGGAGAGTCAAGAGTTCAGGGAAACAGAACAGAGAGCCCAGAGATAAACCTACAGACGGAGTCAGTACACACCGCTGAGAAGAGAACCAAGGCGACACAATGGTGTAAAGGGACAGCAGCTGCCCATCCATTTGCACAAAGATGGATCTAGACACAGAACTTACGTCTTTCAAAGAATGGACTCAAGGGACATCATGTCAAGTGCTTGCTTCCAGAGCCTGATGACTCGGAATCTGTGTCAAGGTATAAAGAGAGAACCAGCTCCACAAAGCTGTCCTTTGACCTCCATGTGTGTGGATGTGTGCACCCCCACAGTAATAATGAGACGGCTTGAGTGTGGTTCCCAGCAACCACATCTGGCAGCTCTCACCCACCTGCAGTTCCAGCTCCCCATGGATCCAGTGCTTCTGGGCTCTGGGGGCACCTACATGCATGTGCACGTGCCCATACCCAGACACACGTACAATTAAAGCATTGGTGTGTGTGGTCACAGGAGACCCCGGCCAGTGCTTCCCAACTGTGCATAAGACTCAGAGTTTCCTGGGAAGTATTCTGCTGCTGTCCCCTTAGTGACTGAGCCCAGACTGGGGACGAGGGCATGGGGACGCTGTTTGCATGGATGGGTAGTGCAAAGGGCACTCTAAAGGGATAAACGTACCCTACTGACCCTGCAAACTATAAACCATGAAATGCAGTCAGGTGAAGCTGGGGTGTGGCAGCGGCACCCTGGAGAGCCGGGCACCCTGGAAGGCAGTGGCAGAAAGGACGATAATTAACTTGGAGATGAGTACACAGGTCCCTTTCTGGATGGCGGGGGCTTCCGGAGCCATCGGGACAAGTGTGAAACTTTAAACAGCTTGTCGGCAGGCTGGTTCAGGGTCAGGGAGCCAGTCCTTGCAGAGGAAGTGGGTCCTTCCAGTCCTGTTCTTCTCTGGACCAAGAGGCAGAGGCTGGGCTCCCTGTGGCCTAGTGACCTCACGTCTGAAGGGAGGTAGGCTGTTGGGAGACTGGGCTGTCCCTTTAGGAACAACGCGGGAGTGTCAGACTTCTATATCGACCACATGAAGCTGTGAGACCTTGGATGGGCCAGTCCAACTCCCCCCGCCCCCCCGCCACTCACTTTCCTGTGTCAAGAGTGGAAATTAAAAAGGCTAAACATTGAAAATGTTAGTCATGGCTCCTTTGGTCATGTTCAGGTGCATATGCACATGTATGCCTGTGTGTGTGTGTGTGTGTGTGTGTGTGTGTGTGTGTGTGTGTGTGTGTGTAGGTCAGAGGTCAACCTGTGGACTGAGACCCCCTTTAGAGGGTCGAATTCGCCTTTCACAAGGGGTCACCTAAGACCACTGGGAAACACAGATATTTATATTACAATTCATAACAGTATCAAAATTACAGTTATGAAGTGGCAATGAAAATCATTTTATGGTTGGGGGGTCACCACCACATGAGGAACTGTATTAAAGGGTCGCAGCATCAGGAAAGTGGCAGGAGCGACGCAGCCATGCAGGACACCTCCGAAGTTTGAGGATGCAGAGTCTGCCCTACCTTCTGAGACCCTTGCAGGACAACAGTTCTGCTTGACTCCCTCACTGAAGCTGGAACTCGTCCGTTCTTGACTTGTGAACTTCTGGCCACTAGAATCATGAGAGAATGTCTGCTGTTTTGAGCCAATCTGTTTATGGTCATTAGTTATGGCGGCCCAAGCCCTGAGTTTGTCTGCCCCTCAACACAATGGCCCACACTCACATGCATGCCTTGCACACTCACACTGGGGAGAGTCTCACTGCTCCTGTGCAGCCAGTGTGCAAACCAGTCAAGCTGCCATAAGCTTTGCCCAGAGACCTAGGGCCATCTATGGTTCCCTATGGCTCCAGAGAGGGCATGAGGACTTTTGGTAGCTGGAGTCTTGGATCTCCAAAGGTGCTGGTGATCATAACTGGAGAGGAAGGGCAGGTTCCAAGTCACAGGCTGTGAAGGCTACCCTCTCCTCCTGGGGTCCAGAGCTTCTGTAACAGTCACAGACAGGGCAGGGCTGAGCTTGCCTGGATTGTGCTGTGTGGGTTGTGGATGTGTGTGGGCAAATGCCTACGTGTGGGAGTGTATGTGAGAGCATTGTCATCAGTGGGAGATGCTTCTGGATGTGGAGTGTGCCAGTGAGTGAGTGTGAACAGGTTAATGGTAGTATGAGGATGTGGCTACACAAGGTTGCACGAGTGTGTTCATGCACACTGGCATCTAGTATGTGACCCCATCGGGATTCACGGAGATAGAATCAGTGAAACCATACCAAGCAGCTGAAAGAGAAGATGCCACCAGGTTGCCCCACGCAGAGACCCCTGTGGTGGGAGGGCCCGACGGCACTCCCAGGACACACTCCTGGGTTCAGATCCCATATAGCTCCTGACTGGATGCGTGGGTCGGATACTGACAGGCTGGTTCCTAACGTGATGTTTGTTCTAGGGGTTGGAGTTGAGAAGCTGGGTGATGGGGTAAGGGCTTTGCCCCTCTCATGCCCATTCCAAGCTGAGAGGGTTCAGGAAGGGTTCACTGAAGCTGGAGCTCGTCCGTTCTTGATTTTTTGAACGTCTGGCCACTTCTCAAATTCTGAACTTCTGGAGAGGGTTCACTGACCCGTTCCAGGCGGCTTCCTTCTCTTTTTAGGCACCTCGGTTGCCCCTGAACGAGGTGGCTCTGCAGACCTCCTCTGGGGTGCCCGCGGTGTATGCAACGGTGCGTGTCCCGGAGGAACCCCGGGAGACATCAACACTAACGCTTAAACTTGACCAGGGCGAGGGGCGTGCCCGCCACAGACCGCGTCCACCTTCCCGCCCACACTCCTCGCTACAGGAGAGTCGCGGCGTGTGACACGGAACGGGGCGTTTTCGCGGAGACGCTGGGGTTGGGGACGAGACAGACACGAGGAGGGCGGGGACCAGCGGTGAATGCCACACCCGAGCTCAGCCGCACAGGCGGCGCCGCGGTCCTACCTCAGAATCCCTAACGGTCCTGAGCGCTGCGTCAGGCGGCTCTGCAGGAGAAATTTCTAATAGGAGACAAGGCAGCGATTAAAGAAAGGCTCTGAGTCTCGCACTGCGTGCGTCCGGCTCCTCCCTCTGTAAAGCGGGGCCACTCGTCCGGACCCTGTGCTGGGGACGCCCCCGCCTCGCCCGGGGAAAGCATCGTTCTAAACCCCGGTCCGGCCCCGTCTTCGTTCCTCTCTGTAGTTGGGAATTTACCGCGGCCCCTTGGTGGCCCAGCGCCACGCCCCCGGCGGGGACGCACCCGGAAGTGCCGCTACGGAAGCTGGCGCGGCCGCTTCACCATGGCGACGGCCGCTCCGCCGCGCTTCTGCCGCTGCGCCTGCTTCTGCTCTCAGAACCTGTACGTGGCGCGCTACGGGCTGCACCTGCGCTTCCGGGACGAGCAGCAGCTGCGCCGTGACTACGGCCCGGTGAGCGGGGTCGGGGTCGGGGGGGGGGGGGGTTGAGGGGAGGGCAGCGAATGCAGGAGGGGCCCGGACACCAGGACTGGCTTTGCCCGAGGTGCAAACCCGCGTGTGCACACTGGGCCTCGCGCTGCAGCATGGCAGCTCCCTGGTAAGCTGGGAGCACGCGTGCGGAGGGCGCTGGACCAAAGTTTTCGCAGACCCCTCGAGGATCCCGCCATTCGCATCTCCGTGACACGGGTCGGGGGGGGGGGGGGCGCTGAGGCGCAGAGATGTTTAAGTGACCGGGTCCCAGAGTCCTGCTCACTGGCCTTTCTGCTCGCAGCTCCTGCGCAGCCGCGGCTGCGTCACTTCCAAGGACTTCCAGCAACTCTTGGAGGAGGTAAGGCACCCCGCCAGCCCTTCCTCTAGGAGTCCTTGACTCCGAAGGACTTCTTTGCCCTCTCTTCCCGGTTCCTGTTTCCCCCTTACTCCCACTCCTGGACCCCGGCCCAGGAGAGAGATTGAGAAAGACCAAGTTGTCCACAGTTCTCAACAGTTGAGTGGCGTAGTCGGGGCCACCACCCCCATTTTAGCTGTCAGTTGACACCTGCAGTGAACCCTGGCAGGTTCAGAAGTATAGGGAGAGTTGCCTTCCAGCCTGGGCCCCGCTTTGGTCTTCCCGGGGCCCCTGGAGGTGGGTGGCCCCGATTTCTAACTGCCTTTGCCGCTCCAGCTTGAGCAGGAGGTGGGGCGCCGCCGCAGGCTGGGCCAGGAGTCAGCTGCCAGAAAAGCCCTCATCGCCAGCTCCTACCACCCAGCGAGGCCTGCCGTCTATAAGTCACTGCAGGTACTAGGCCGGCCTGGCAGCTTGAAGGCTGGCTGAGGAGGAGTCTGCCCTGGTGGGGGTGGGGGTGGGGTAACTTTCCACCGCTGCCCTGTGCTCTGTCCCAGGATGCCGCTCTGGCCCCCGAGTTTGTGGCTGCAGCTGAATATAGTGCATCCCCGGGTGCAGACCTTGAGGGCCTTCTCCAGCGGTTGGAGATAGTGTCAGGTGAGGTCTTTCGACCCCATCACCAGCCAGCACTGGGCGGGGAGTGGGGGTCGGGGTACGGGAGTGGGGGGTGGTGGCCTGAGATACTTGGGCATGGGAGGCGGGTGCTTTATACGTCTGTCTCTTCCCAGGAGCTGGGAAGGCCAGTGGACCAGTCTGCCAGGGCATCTCATTTATTCGTTAATTCATCCATTCACTCATTTATTCACTCATTCATTCATGCATCCATTCACTCCTTCATTCATTGACCATCCAACTAGGATCGGGGCAGTATGTCACTGTCCCCATTGTCCAGAGGGAACAGGCTGGAGGAGGTTGAATGGGCGCCCCTGGCCCACTATCTCCCCACTCCTTCTACAGAGGAGAAGCGCATCTACCGGGTGCCAGTATTCTCGGTGGAGTTCTGCCAGGCCCTGCTGGAGGAGCTGGAGCATTTTGAGCAGTCGGACATGCCCAAGGGAAGGCCCAACACCATGAACAACTATGGGGTGGGTGAGGCCTTGCCTGTGTACCCAGGGAGTGAAGGCAGCTAGGGTGCTGCAGTCAGGCAGGCGACCTGCCCTGCTCTGAACCCAAAGACCAGCAAGAAAGCAAACAGCTCTTGCACTTAGCAACGTCTCCGGCGAAGGATTGTGGGGATGCAGGGTGAGGCTCCCCAGGTCTCCCTGTTGACTGCTGGGAATCTTTCTTAGGTACTGATGCACGAGCTAGGCCTAGACGAGCCTCTGGTGACACCTTTGCGGAAGCGCTTCCTGCAGCCGCTGCTGGCCCTGCTGTACCCAGAGTGTGGCGGGGGCCAGCTTGATAGCCACCGTGCCTTTGTGGTCAAGTATGCGCTGGGCCAGGACCTGGAGCTGGGCTGCCACTACGACAACGCTGAGCTCACCCTCAATGTGGCTCTGGGCAAGGCCTTCACAGGGGGTGCCCTATACTTTGGGGGCCTCTTCCAGGTGAGTGAGCCCCACCATTGCTGGCCCCAGGCAGTCATGAGGACTTCAGCCTGAACCCTACCATCTGCAGGCACCTGCAGCCCTGATGGAGCCCCTGGAAGTGGACCATGTGGTGGGCCAGGGCATCCTGCACCGTGGTGGCCAGCTGCACGGGGCGCGACCCCTGGGTACCGGAGAGCGCTGGAACCTTGTCATCTGGCTCCGGGCCTCTGCTGTTCGGAACCGCCTCTGTCCTATGTGCTGCCAGAAGCCAGAGCTGGTGGATGATGAGGGCTTCGGTGACGGCTTCACCCGGGAGGAGCCTGCCATGGTAGATGTCTGTGCACTGACTTGAGCCTGGTACACCCAGCGGTGTTGGCGCCATGGCCGCAGAAAGCTGCCACCTTGGGCGGGGAGAGCAGAAATAAACTCCGCAGCTGTGACACTCATTGGATCATAGGGACATGCTGACTTCTGGGTCACTCTTTGGACAGATGTGCTGTCTTAGGGCCGAACCGCTGAAAGACAAGCCTAGATTGAGATGAAGTACTGAGGGTCAAGGGCAGAGCAGGCCCAGGAAGGGAAGGAGCCCCAGAAGGATGTGGTTTCCAAAGACGTCCAGCCTCAGTCTGACCCCTGGGGAGCTCTGACTGGCCTGGGGGCGGGTGGGGGAGCTCAGTCAGTGGCTCCTCGGATAGGTTCCCAGGGATTTAAGTTGAGTTCATTGGTCTGGGGAGTGGGGATCCAGACTTTCTGGGTTCAAGCCTCTGTTCTGGCACTTCCAGCTGTGAGGCTCTGGATTCGCTTGTGCCTGGGCGCTGTGACAGCCCAACGCGTTGACACTTATAAAGCACTTTATAACAGCCCTCTGTTTCCTATTGTTATTTAAGAGCTTGCAGCTGGTGGTTCGGAGGCTGGATGAGGGGTGCACATTCCTGGGGACTTACGTTGTAACTCTAGGTACTCAGGGAAAGTGGTAAGATACAGAAACACCTGCCTCCATTCTCACTGCAAATGATGGAGCAGAGTCTCAGCTGCACACCCACACCTGACGGCCAGGGACTCATTCCTTAATCCCTGATGGGCAGCGACCTCCACCACTGAGTGATATTGAAAACACCAGTCGTCTTCAGTCCGTCCGAGCTCTCAGTCTGGTGGAATGGACAGACCTTCAGAAAAACCAGGGAAAACAGTAGGAGGGTGGCTTTCAGGAGAGTGAGAGGCCCGAGGGCTTTCGGCTGGCTCAGGACTACGATCTCCCACCCAAGCAGAGACACAAGGCCAATCCCTTCTTTTTGTTGGAAGTGGGCGTGTCAGAAGCCGAACCAGGGACCGGAACTAAAGGCAACAATGGACTCAAACTACACCCGGACGGACTTCCAGGACGGACGGAGCCACCCCGGAAGCGGACCGGAAAAATCCAACTGGACGCTGTTTTCTCACGCAGAGGCATGCTGGAGACTGGTGGTTGACGTGGGAACCGGGCGCCCTCGAGACGCATCTCGGGGCAGCCGGGCCGCCCTCTTGCAGTTGAGGAAAGCTGAGGAGGAGTTCCCCCGCGGCGGCGCAGAGTCCAGTGCGCAGGCGTGTGGGCGGGGGGACGGGGGCTTAAAGGGACTGCGGTGAGGAGTCGGAGGAGTTGGGGTCGCCGAGAGCGAGGCTCTCGGGCGGGAATGGGTACTCGGTGCCCCGTGGACCAGGCCCCGTTGGCACTGAGTTTGGATCGACTCTGCGGACGTGCCCAAGAGCAGCTGCAGGTTAAACGCGTCTCTTCCGGTCTCTAGCCTGCTTTGCTATGGCTCACGTTGGCTCTCGCAAGCGCTCGAGGAGTCGCAGTCGGTCCCGGGGTCGGCGGGGGTCAGAGAAACGAAGTAAGAAGAGTAATAAGGAGGCCTCGAGGAACTGCTCAGCCTCCAAATCCCAAGGTCACAAGGCCAGCATCACCTCCGGTGCTGAGGGTGAGGACCACAGGGACGTGGCGTCTGCACTGCGGGAGGCTTGCATCTGTCGGGCCCGCCCCCAGGGAGCGAGGGATTCGGGGTAGAGCCTGGACCGGGTCCCTCGGATGGGAAAGAGGCTCGGATGAGTGGAGGGTGTGCCTTATTCATGCTTTAATGCGCTGGGCCTTTGAGGTCGGGCCTGGGGTGGCCAGGCACACAGTGACTTCTAGAACTCCAAAGAAGGTTCCGAATGTGCTCTTGGAGAGCCGGTTGGGAGGGAGGGTCCTCCCGAGTAGAGGCCTGAGCCTGCCCCAGGCCAGAGCAGGGGACAGAGGCCTTACCTTCTCCCTGCATCACAGAGAGAAGCAAGCACAAGGCCCGGAGGACAGCGAGATCCAGCTCCTCCTCCTCCTCTTCCAGTTCTTCCAGCTCTGCATCATCCTCATCCTCCAGTGATGGCCGGAAGAAGCGAGGGAAGCCCAAGGATAGGAAGAGGAAGAAGAAGAAGAAACGGAAGAAGAAGCTGAAGAGGAAGGACAAGGAGAAGGCAGTGGCGGTGCACCCGGCGGAAGCTCTGCCTGGCCCCTCACTGGATCAGTGGCACAGATTGGCTGGGGAGGACAACGATGGCCCAGGTACCGTGTGGGCCAGCATGCGGTGGGGAGAGGGTGCTCTCCCCAGGTCTGACACCCCCTCCATCTTCCCTTCCAGTCCTGACTGATGAGCAGAAGTCTCGTATCCAGGCCATGAAGCCCATGACAAAGGAGGAGTGGGATGCTCGGCAGAGTGTCATTCGCAAGGTGGTGGACCCAGAGACTGGACGCACAAGGTGTGTGGAGCAGCGGGCACAGCCAGCTAGTCCTGCCCTCAGTACAGTCGGGAGGTGGGGAACTGCAGCCACTTCCGTCAGACAGGATGGGGAAATGGTCACTTGTGATGTGACATCCCAGGGGTTATCCCCTGTGCCCCTTTGAGTAGTGGCGGGGCTGGAAGGGCCTTGCGGCTTTTCAAATGGTTGCTGTGACAAAGGAGAGTCTATCTGGATTGTCTCCAGAGTGGGGATTGGGAGCAGGCTCCCCCTGCTTGGCTTGGGGTCCCTTTCCTTGGGTGGTTTTGGTTCTGTTGTGTGACATGAGAGTCCCAGACTCTTTCTTGCTGAGCTGATGCCCTCTGACCCCCCCAGGCTTATCAAGGGAGATGGTGAGGTTTTAGAGGAAATCGTAACCAAAGAACGACACAGAGAAATCAACAAGGTTGGTGTCGCCTCTCTGCCCATGCTGTGCCCACACTGTGTCTACACTTAGTATCTCATGCTTCTATCCTGTTTTCTTCCTCAGCAAGCCACCCGAGGGGACGGCCTAGCCTTCCAGATGCGAGCAGGCCTGCTTCCCTGAGGGCCCTGGTCTCCCAGGTCTGTGAACTACTGTTGGTGGCTTGGAGACAGACGGGTCCAGTTGTCTTTTCTTCTGTGGGTGGCCTCTGGCCCAGGCCAGCATCCTCTTGGGTGCAGTGGGTGACCCCCTAAGCACTAGACTGGGAGTGTGTCGATATTAAATGATCTTGGTCAGAGTGCCTGTCTTGTTGCGTTCTATGCTGAGGGGTAGAACTGTTACCATATGACTTGTAGAGAGATGTACTCATTGGGGAAAGCAGGCATGTCCTCTGGTGGTAGTGAGCAAAAACTACCCAGTTGACTCAACCAGGACCGGACCTGACCTTACCCTGTCTGAGTCAAACTCAGCCTTGGTCCTGAGGTTGCGCTCTCAGACCATTACCTGTGTCCTGTTGCACAGGAGCCTGGCCAGGCAGGAGGCCCAGCTCTGGTTTGTTGGCTGTGTCCCCCCGGGGAGCAGAGGCCAGCAAAACCGCCCTCACCAGGTCTGTGCATGAGAAGGGCGGTCAGTTCCCAGGTGTGTGCTAATGTCACAGTGGTTAGTGGCATGTGTCACTGCAGTGGGTATCTTGCCTCACCCACACCAGGATGCCTATGGTGCCGCCACAGTAATGAGACCAGAAGGAAGCCTCCTGCTTCTTTAATTGGTGTAACAGACGGTGACACGGTATACAGAGAGCACACTCAGGCCAGACGATGCAGGGACAGCATGGGTGGGGTCAGGACGTGGTTCACACATTGTCCAGAGAAACAGATAGTACAAGGACACACGGGAGGGGCCGAGATGTGAAGGTTTAACAGGGCAGCTCACACAGAACCAGAAGGGGGTGTGTGGGGGGGTGTTCTTTGCTGAATCCTTCTTTAGAAATTGGGGAGAAGGCAGGTGGTTGGTGCTGGGTGGCATTGAGGCTCAGTCCTGGGGACTGTGGATGGGGAGGGAGGGACTAAGGCTTCTATTCTGACAGGCCTGGGGTGGGTGGCAGTCGACAAGGTCTGCCTCACCCTTTGGTTACGAATGGCCAGGCCTGAGCCCGGCAGCTCAGCACCTGACACTGTAAACATTTTTGGGTATTTTTAAGGGACTTTGACCTTCCTCTCTTAGTTTCCGTAAAAGTGGGGCTTCCTCAAGAGAATGAGCCAAAGGAGATCTTACGGGAAGCAGAAAGCAGACTTGAGCGGGTTTTTGGGGGAGGCTGCCCGTCTCACCATCTATGGCTAAGGGCCCCGGGAGAGCCCCAGGGAACTATTGCTGTTGTCCTTGGCATGGCTGGCGGCTGGGCAGGCGGGGGGCATTCAGAGCCACAGGGGGCTGCCCGGGGGAGAGACCAAGCCCGCTGACCCCAGGGCCTCCCTGGCCTTTATTGCAGGTGGCCTGAGGCTTCCAGGTGCTTCTCCCAAAGGCTGAGGCAAGACGGGGTGGGGCTGAGGGAGGAGGCACTGGCCACTGGGACCCCAGGTGGGGCAGTGATTGTCGGACCAGCAACTTCCTTCGGGGTGGGGCAGATATTGCACTTTCACTGTGACAGTTCCATGGAATCTTGGTCCATAAAATAATCACTGCTTTATACACAACACCAGAAACAACAGAGCTACATCTTAGGGGAGGCCATGAAGGTCTCACCTCTCCAGACTTTTTTTTTTTCTCTGCACAAAATAAATAGCTTTCTTCCTGTTTAGGCCCACCATGGCAGGGCATCACATGCCCTGTGGTGTACGTGTCTATACAGCAAAGTCATGTCTCCTGTATACCTGCTCAGCCTAGCCACGTGGCCCTGAGTCTGAGTCCAGCTTGGCAGCTCCTCAGGCACAGAGCCCCGTCGCTGGACAGCTGGCCGGAGCTAGGCGGGCTCAGCCAGTGCAGGGAAGGGGCAGAATTGTGCTCAGTGCTGCGGGGGGGGGGGGGGGGGGGGGGGGGAGGGGGTTGGCAGGCTCAGACCCAGCGTGTGGGACACCTGTCCTTGTTTGGGGAGAAATAAAATGGCTGTCTGCCCTTACGCTGACAAAGCAAGCGGTTGGCTTCTTGGAGTAGACATTAAACGGAATGGCATTAAGGAATCCTAAGAGCTCCACCCGCCCCAGAGTAGGAAGTCGGTGGAATTGTGGGTCAGGTGAGGCGGGAAGCCCACACCTTGCCGAGTGGACCAGGTGCAGGGCCCACAGGCCAGACTGAGCGGGACCCTGTCACAGTGCTGGGTGTCCTAATGTAGCAGGCTGCGCCGACATCGAGTTAAGAAAAGGAAGCAGCCGAGGATCGCCTGTTAAAAAAACCTTATAGAAACCAGATGGAGAAGTAGAAAGGCGTAGAAACGCGGTGGGCAGCAGCCATGGCGTGGGGCCCAGCCCATGGCAGGCCGGGGAGGTGGAGGTGGAGGCCGGCCTTCTGCAGGCCCAGCTGCCCAAGTGGGTTACCAGGAGCCGGCTGCGCACTTTGCTCTCCTCACACCTGTGCTGTGCTCACGGCCTGGAGTGACACCAGTCCTGTGACTGCACTGAGCTCTGGGTGGGGCAGGTGGACGGGTGGGCAGCAGTTTGG